AGTAAAGGGCACGTCTGCCATTGAAGGCGGCCTAACCTTCACAAACAGAGCGGTAGTGATTTTAAAGGCAAAGATCAGCGCCAGGCGACCAAATCAATCTTCCATTGCCTCTGTGCGTGGCCACAGACCCACAAAGGCAACAATACGCTCGCAGTTGAAAGAACGCTATAATAAAAACCCTGGGAAAGTGTTGCTAGCCATCACCGCCCAGCATAAGCTATGACCGCCCACCGCGGGAGGTGGTGCGCGGCTTGCACGGGGCGCGAAATCAGCCGGTTGACTGCCATACAACTGAAATCCTATGTTCGCCCTTTTCGCTGCTGTTAGAAAGAAGGGGTTCTATTTTCAAATTTTTCGACGGACTCTTTTCGTTTTTTCTTTACTGTCGTTCCATTTCGCATCGCTACTCAGTTTCAAGCGAAATAATACCTCAAATCGAGCCCGACCTTGCCTCTAAAAGCAATAGGTGAGAGATTCCAAAAAAATCAAACGACGCAACGACGCGAACGTTCATAGAAACAACTGCCAGGCGACCGCGCACTTCTCAAAAGCTTCACCTCTGATTATATTGTAGCGAAATTTTTCTTCTCCATAGGAATGATAAGAGTACTCGAATGGCGTAAAACTTTTAACGATTCCATTTAGATCATGAACGATAACACCTGCTTCTCTCCGGGAGCTCCTGTTTATCACTGGAGTTCGGAGGCTGGGCTCAATCACATTCCAAAGTGAAGCGTGGGCAATTGTCGTCACATTAGTATGAACCATAGACGGGCGATCGAGGGACTACGAGAGTGCGTGTGAAACTCAGAGAACAACTATCATCAAATAATTGTATAAACTGTTGCGCTTTTTCATGTGTCATTGTGTAATCATCGACTGCTGTGGTTTGTTTTTTATTCATTTGGTAGCTTACGGCAGTTTAAAAATTGCATGAGGTTTTCGACCAATTTGATAATCAAGCTGTCCAATTCCACGTTAATTAATTATTTGACGTCAG